TTTTTAAAAAGAGGGGGCAGGGGGTGGAGAAGCCATTTGTGGTGAATATGAAAAATCAGGGATGATCTTTGGAGCTGTTCACTGGAATTCAAAGGCAGAGGACTGTAAATAACCATTATGGGTGTCATTCATTTGGCAAAGTTCCTTCAGATTATCTCCTGTGCGAATTTCACTCCATCAGCGGTTGTAGGGCTGTAGCATTTTCCAATCTGCATCTCAAGAGCACAGGATGACAGTATGAACTTCCAGAGTATGGACTTCCAACATTTATCTGATTAAATTAATTAATACATCCCTTGGATTTATAACTCATTTCCCAGAAACAGCTCACAAATATAAGTAAGTGTACTTTTTGTTTAAAGTAAGATAGAAATATAGGTCCTTGCCCTATGCTGAATCAGACCATTGGTCCACCTAGCTTAGAATAATAGAATTGTAGAGTTGGAAGGGACCCTGAGGATCATCTAATCCAACCCCCTGCAATGCAGGACTATGCAGCTGTCCCATATAGGGATCGAGCCTGAAACCTTGGAGTTCTCAACAACATGCTCTAGCCAACTGAGATATCCAGGTTGACCACTAAGCTATTTGGTTTTGTGTTGTCTGTAATGACTCTCAGTGGCCCTACAGGGCTTCAGTCATGGGACATTCCCAGCACTATCTGGAGATGCTGGGGACTGAACCAGGGACCATCTGCATGCAAAGCAGATACCCCGTGATGGCCTAGGACTAGGACTCGGACTCGGAACCAGACGAGTCTCAGTCTGCACCAGATCCTTTGCCTCAGGCATCATCTGAACCAAGTCTGGGGCTTGATCCTGAAGAGTCCCAGTCTGCACAGGTTCCCCTGCAACAAACACCAGCTGTGCCGAGTCAGGGGCCTGAGCCTGCCCTGGCTCCAGATGCGGGGATTACCTCGTTGCCTTCAGCTGGGCCATCACTTACAGCTGCTCCACTACCAGTTGGGTCAGGGGAGGCTGAGGCAGCCCCTGGGTCTAGTAACCCACCGACGTCTCCGAAGCTCCAGAGACTAAGGTCTGAGAGAAGGAGAGACCTGAGTACTCGCAGGAGGAGTGCTCACCTTTGGGCGAAACAGGGAGGTGAGTTGCCGGGGGATCAGGACCGGCTGTTACCCCAACAAAGATAAAAGGCTGACGGACCCCACCCCAGGTTGCGGGAGCAACATTGCTGTATGCCAGATCCTGTCTGAGATCCTGTACCTGTCCTTGCCTGGTTTCCTGCCTTGGCCCTGTCGGACTGACTCCTAGCAGAACCTGCGGATTCTGGACCGGTCCTGGACCATGTTTCAAGGGTTACCCCTGGGCCCAGCACATACCCAACCACTGAGTTACAGCCTTTCCCCTGTGGTTTGTGGTCTTCCTCTTCCCCGAAGTAGCTTTGAAGCAGAACATAAGAAGAACCTGCTGGATCCGGCCAATGGCCCATCTAGTCCAGCATCCTCGTCTCACAGAAGCCAACAAGATGCCTGTGGGAAGTCTGCAAGTAGGATTCGAGCACAAGAGCGTCTCCCCTTCTGTGGCTTCCAGCAACTGGTATTCAGAAGCATCGCTGCCTCCAACTGTGGAGGCAGAGCACAGCCATCATGACTAAGGGCCCCCAATATCCCTCTCCTCCTTAAATGTGTCTAAGTCCCATTTGAAGTCATCTAGGTTGGTGGTCATGATGGCCAGGGTGGAAGCTCATCTTTCCTTTGCCTTGGAGGTGACTCTAGAATGCAGTGAATGTGCAAAGATGGGAATGGATTTGATGAGTGATGGATGAAGATGGGCGGTGCGGGCAGATGAAAATGTTTAATAGCATTGGAAAGATGAGCAAGTGAACAAACCCGCTCCAAAAATATGCACTTCATTCCCTGACCATCTAAGCTCTTCATCTGAATCCAACCGAAGCAGGCACACCTTGGCATCGTAAGTCCATGGACCATGTATACAAAACTCCATTCCTCTTTCAAAAACTTCTTCATTTTTCAGTCTAACCATCTATGCTGTTCATACGGAAGCTCCTCTATAGCCCCGATCATTTTGTCTTGACCCACCTTTGCCTTTGCTAGTTCTGTGCTAACCTTTCCGAGATGAGGCGAGCAAAAGCAATGCGTCACATTCAAGAGATGGAGAGACACGATAGATTTATACAGCAGCCTTATCTATTTCATGTTTCCTCTTCATTTTCCGGTAACTCCTAACATGGTGTTGGTCGGTTTGGGCAGCTAGATGTGCACCCAAGCTGATGCTTTCATTGAGCTGTGTCAAACTCATCTGACCCTGAAAAAGCACAGCCTGTCTAAGCCTGGGGAAAGAAGCACTTGGGTAATGAGGTCTTTTGGCTTAGCTTCATAGTGTCACCCTAGTGGAAAAAAGTCTTTGTTTCAAATAATGTAATCTCTATCTGGAAAAGCAACATTGTTGAAGCACGCTCTGTTTCGGATGAAGCTACTACATTTTGGGGTGCTTTAAATTGAAAAAGTGGGTTTCTATGATTTTGTCTTTCACTCAAGGATGGATCAGTGCGCTTCTGTCCTGTGCCTGTTCTGTCCCATTTCTTTGACAATCTTATTTTTCGATGCACAAAAAAGTATTGAAATCCTATAGACACCCCTCACCAAAAAAAGTTTACTTTTAAAAAGATTCTCTTAAAACGCATTTTTTCTGAACATGTTTTGAAACAAAAAATGCACCGCAAAAGTTGAAGATGTGCACAGCACAGCAGCACAACTGGACGCCTTCATCTGCCCCAGCTGCAGCAAAACATGTTTCTCCTGTATTGGTCTCGACAGGAGCTACAACCTTCCAAAGGCTCACTCCTCCATTGTCTCCTCAGAGAGACAGATGCCAAAAACAGTTCCTCCCTCCCACTCTCTGCATTTCAATAAATAGATTTTTACATTGTTTTAATTATATGGATAGTGAGGGTTTTTTTTTGTTTTTTTTTTACATTAAACTTGCATATGCTTTTATCTCTGTGTGTTTTATTTGTATTTGTTTTAGTTTTTGTGAGCTGCCTTGAGACCTGGCTCTGGATGAAATGTGGGGTATTAATAGCATTAGTAATAATCTTAATAGTGATAGCGGGAAATGGTCTGATTTAACACTCTAAAGCAACTTCACCTATTTATTTCCCCATTTTTTTTTGTATGTCACTTTAGAAAAGTTACTAAGCTTTAGAAATCAGCAGAAATAGCATTTCAGATGAGATAAGATATTTATAAATGGATGAGCAATTCCAGCTCAGCTCAGCTCAGCTTTGTACTTCTATGGCTTGCATTTCTGATCTTAGAATCAGAATCTATTTTGGGGTGCGTGCTTCTCTGGGTGAGCATACTTTTAAGAAGAAAAAAAGAAAATCTTTTGGATCCACCTATCATGTTTTTGCTCTTGGGGAACCATGTCTCTCAATTCAAATATAGTTACAGATCAAGAATATTTTCACAAACACTTCGACAAGGAGTTGTCTTTGAAATGCTCACCAGGCAGAAATCTGGTTTGCACAAATCAAAAGCAAAGGTTTGAGTGAAATATTAATAGCAGAGTCCTGTGTCTCTCAGCATCACAGGAAAAGGGACAACAGGTCTGAGAGACCCCTGGGTTTTGCAGAAAACAAGAAAAGACTGGGTGCATTTGCCATTTCTATTTTGAGCAACTCCTGGGAATTTGCCGAGAGACACACAAACAACTTTGCTTTCAGGACTATGGAATTCAAGTAACTTGGGAAGGAGCAGGTTGCCCAGTGGCGCAGAGCTGCCATGCTAGTTTCCGCAGAGGTGGGTCACTGTAGCTTACTTGGAGTGGGGGTCGGTGCAGTGCACTGGCAGAGCCAATCTGCCCCCACCCTGCAAACTTCCCCATTGACTCTCCTCTCTCCCTCTCCTTCCCACTTCCCCAACCTGGTGAGGCATTTCTGTACCTGAGGTCTAGAACTTGGGGAAGCAGAAACAGGGCTTGGGGCAAATAAAAGCATAAAAAGATCCTGTTAGAACAGGCCAATGACCTATTGATTCCAGCATCCTATTCCCACAGTGGCTAACCAGATGCCTGCAGGAATCTCACAAGCAGGACAAAAGCACAATAGCACTCATTCCACCTCAAACTCATGGCTTCCTGCAAATGGTATTTGGAAGAATTATTGTCTCCTACCATGGAAGCAGATATAGCCAGCAGAGCTAGCAGTCATCACTAGCCTTATCCTCTGTGAATTTATCTAATCTTTCTTTAAAGCCATGGAACTTGCCGAACTGACCGGGAGACTCCGAGACCAGAGAGAAGAGAAGGTGGAAGAAGTCTGGAAGAAGTTTAAGGAATATTTGAAAAAAATATGTTAATATTTAAACTTTAGAATAGCTTTGGAAGTGGATATAGGCTGTAGGGTTAGAAGTAGAAGATAGGGTATTTTAAAATAGTATTATTTGTAAGTGATAAAATGTGAAGTTATTTTAAGTGTGATTAAAAAAAAAAGATGGTTAGAAATTATGGTATATGTAAACTGCTAAAGATGAAGTAAAGTGAAAATCAGATAGGTGAGACTTGGGGAAGCCCACTTAACAATGTTTAGAAAAATAAGGATGTGACAAGAATTTGTTCATATTGTTTGTCTTTTCTGTTTGTGTTTTTTATTTGTGTTATAAAATGAATAATATTTTTTTTTGGGGGGGGAAGCAAAACAAGTTGGTGACCATCGCAGCTTCCTGTGGGAATGTGTTACTCTACAAAGATGGTTAAAAATAAATAAATAAAAATCTGTCCCGAATCTTCCAATGTTCACTAGATGTCTGCAACTTCTAGTGTTATGAGAGAGGGAGAAAACGTTTTCTTTATCTGCTTTCTCTATCCCACGCATTAGTTTATAAACTACTATCATGTCACCTCTTACTTGCCTTTTCTCCAAACAAAAGTCTCCAAAATATGGGAGTTGCACACCAGTTTCCTATTAGTGTGTTACAGGAGCATGCAGGTCATTTGGTGAAAGGCTGGGTCCCAGGAGCGAATGGCCATAGCTCACGGGCACAGCATCTGCCTTGCCTGCAGGAGATCCCAGGTTCAACCCCTGGGATCTCTAGAGACTCCATGTCTGAAACCCTAGAAATTCACCACCACTCAGCATAGACAATACTGAACTAGATTAACCAGTGGTCTGACTCGGTAGAAGGCAGTTCCCTCTGTTCCTACAATAAAGAAGGGCTCCATTGATCCCTGTGGCAATTCTTTCCTGTGCATATAAAGCTGTGCTCATGTGGGATGGATAGTGTCCTTTGTTCCATCTTCCCATTTCATTTCCGTAAGGAAAAAAAGAGGTATATTTTGTAGCTATTATCCCTATTTTGGTGGAAAAAGCCATTAATATAGAATTGCCTTCACGTCCTGCTTTTATATTTATTGCTAGCTGTTTCCTGATGGGAAACCAGCTCATCTGATCTGTGTTTCAAGGTCAACATTGACATGAATCTTCCAGAGGGTGCAGCCATTGATCACTGAAGGTTGTGAGGTTTGAGTTCTTCTTTGTAAACAAGTGATAATAGACCCGATCAATATTCACTTCAGCCCATCTTACCAATGGGAAGAGGTTTCATCAGAAGGAGAGATAAGTTGCAGGGGGGAAATAAAGATTTCTCCAGCTGTCTGTTTATCAAAGAAAGCTCCGCTTTATGAAAAATCAAGAATCTCTAAAGAGAAAAACAGAAATACCAATGTCCTTTTGAAAGGTCTCTCATGCAAAAACTTCAAGGGGCTGGGAAGTTCTGCAAGCAGCATTCAAAAATAATGGTGATTTTCTTGTTTCTGGGTTGCAGGCATGCCGTAGGGTGGGACATGTGAAGCTGTAGCTGCAAATGAACATTTGGGAGCCTTAAATGTTCAGGGAAGTTTTTAATGGTTGATGTTTTACTGTGTTTCAAAGATTTTGCTGGGACCTGCCTGAAGTGGCTAGGGCAACCCAGCCAGATGGGTGGCATATAATTAATGATCTTCTTCTTCTTCTTCTTCTTCTTCTTCTTCTTCTTCTTCCTCCTCCTCCTCCTCCTCCTCCTCCTCCTCCTCCTCCTCCTTCTCCTCTTCTTCTTCTTCTTCTTCTTCTTCTTCTTCTTCTTCTTCACTTCTGATTATTATTTGACAAGCAGATCTTGCATGCAATGCCTTTTAAATTTGGCACCAAATACAAACTCTGCTGCAATGAGTTCGATTCTAGAACTCCCAACTGGAGCTCCTGTATGGAGTTGATCCCTGCCCAAAACTGTTCCCAAATTTAAGCTCTACACGAACATTTTGGGCAGCAATTCAAGTTGGGGCTGCAAAGGAAGAAAGGATAAGCGCACTGAGACTCAATCTGCACTATACATTTAAAGCAGTATCATGCCACTTGAAACTCCTGAGAAGTGTGGTTTGTTCTACGATACAGGAGCAGACATTCTATATGTTCTATTGCCTTAACACCAAATCAGTTGTTGTGTGTGTTACTACTATGGAAACTCCAGTTTTGGTGTTTTACAGCTCCTGTTTTGGAAATGTGATGTTTCATAGAATCATAGAGTTGGAAGTGACCCCGAAGGTAATCTAGTCCAACCCTCTGCAAGGCAAGAATCTCAACTAAAGCATTCACGATAGGCAGCCATCTCTCAGTCAGCAAAAATATGTTTATGTATCTTTCAACCTGCATATGGATCATCCACTTGTTCTGCCATTGAGGACTTCTTGGATCATTCTTTGTCTAGCTCCTTCCCTTTGACCTTACCACCTTGGGTGACCCTGCTGGGAGTACGAGATTCCTGACGGCTTCACTCACAAGGGTCATAGGAACATGCAAGCCCACTCACCATGACAAGGAACTAATATCAGTGTACTGGAAGAAGCAAAGATCACCAGTGTGGAAGCAATGATTCTTCAACATCAACTTTGTTGGACTGGTCATGTTGTGCGGATGCCTGATGATCGTCTTCCACAGCAACAACTCTATTCCAAACTTAAAAATGGAAAGCGTAATGCTGGTGGTCAACAAAAGAGGTTTAAAGACTGTCTCAAGGGGGAAAAATGTAGTATAAAGACTGACAACTAGGAAACACTGGACTGTGAGCGCTCCAGTTGGAGAACAGCCTTTACCAAAGGTGTCATGGGCTTTGAAGACACTTGAACTCGGACTTCCGGGGTGGCGCCTCCGGAAAATGGCGGAATTCCCTTCAAGTTGAAGGGAACCCGCTGCACGGAAGCTTGGGTCCTACCGCTACGGCGCAGCGGGGACCCTTAAAACCCACAGGCGGATGAAGCCTGTGGACGTGGGACTCAGCGGGCACCGTGAGCGCTCTCTCCCCATGCGCAGGAGCCCGGTAACGGGCTCCGGAGTGGAGGTGCGTGGTGCTGTGAGTCGACTGCTTCTTTCGTGCAGCAAAGCCGCACTGCCGTTTCCGGAGAGCGCTGCCTTTTTCCTGGGACAATTTGGCATCTAAAACATCTATCCGTGAGTACCTGATCTTGGAAGAGCTGAATTACTTTTAAGACTGGTGAATAAATAAATAAATTGGACTTGAAATTGAATTTAATTGGGACTTGGAACGGAAGGTCTAAACAGGAAGTCAGCCTTCCGTTCTTTTGTTACGTGAAGAAAGCAAAGACAAAATATACTAAAGCTTGAAAATTAAATTCTGAGAGAACTAGAATTCAACATCTAAGATTTCTGAACCCCCCATTGACTGCAGGAGAAGAAGGGGGTTGTTTTGGACTTTTAACCCTGCGGAAGTGAGTTTAAAACAAAGTAATTTTCCACCGCCCTGAACCAGGAGCGGGCTGTCAGAACTGACGTTTTGAAGCTTGTCCAGCTCGACAGATAGTTAAAAGAAAGGTAACATTGTGACTCTACTGTTGCCTCTTGAATTTTGAAGGGGAACTTTGGATAAAGTGTATCTGGAAAAGAAAGACTGTTGCTGATGTTTTGCTCCTTTATATAAAAAAAACAAGGACAAAAAGGTTTTCCCTCTAGTGGGATTTAGTGAAACTGCAACGCAGAGAGCTTAAAAGTGAAGGACTATAATCGTGGGAAAGAATTTTCTTTGACCTTGAAGGACAATGCTTGTACAAAGGCTTGAACAAATGTTCCTGGAAGGTTTTTCAAAACTAAGTGCCCAGCTGGACCAGATGCGTCAGGAGACGACCTTGATGACGGAAGTTACCAGAGCACAGCAGCAAGTAAATGGAACTCAGTTAAAATATCTACAAGTATATGAACCTGCTGTAGTGATGGAGGCTTCAGAGATGGAGGGACCTTTGGACCGGCAGGATCAGCCTTTGAACTTGATAAATGAACTTGGGATAAATCAGATTCGGAAAGATGAAATGTGGTTAGATTTGGAAATGGGGGATGGATTGACCCCTTTATATGGTTATCTGGACTTTCCGAGTCTGGTGATGGGCCATCAGAGGATTGGAGTAGTCGGAGCCTCCAAGTTTCAAGGAAACTTGAAGTGGTATTATCTGCTGTCTGGCTTGGACAATGGGCATGGGATGGACTTGTTGCAAAGGGTCAAAAGTATCTTTCTGCTGGAGTACCCACGACTGAAAGGGAAACATCAAGAAGAGCTGCGAAGGGGCAAGAAAGAGATTTGAGGGCCTCGGACACGAGACAACCAGGTTAAGGAGCCGGACAGGACGCAAGGGAGAAACGTGCTACGAGGAAGGCACATTTGGCAAATCCACACCGTGATCAACTCCTGACCGGAAACCAATGTCCCCACTGTGGAAGGATGTGTGGATCCAGAATTGACCTCCACAGTCACCTAAGGACTCATTGTTAAAACTGTGTTTATGGAAGACAATCTTATTCGGCTATGAGTGACCTCCAAAGAAGATATGGATGCTTTGCACCCCTCACAAATGACCCAAGCTGCAGTCTGAAGGCATCTCAACCCATCAACTCAGCTCTTAAACACATTAGAAATGATCCATGTGAACAAATTGGAAGTATGAAGCATCAAAGAAATGGAACTATAGCAGTGGACTTCTTCCAGTAATATCAACAGTTTGTTATATACTGCAAATTCCAATTTTGAATTCTTGTCCTGATAAAGGAAGACTCCAATCATCATCTAACCACTTACTTGAGAATACATCCCATTGAACTGAATGGAGCCTTATTCTGAGCAGACATGTGTAAGCTCACACCATAGATTTAATGAATATGTAGGTGTCCTATCATTCCCAGCTAGCATGGCCAGTGGTAAGGGGTGATGGGAGCTGGAGCCCAACCACATTGGCTACCCTGATTATAAGTCATAGCAGTCCTGAAAAATTATCCAGCACAAACAGTTATTGCTGGACTTCACTTTATGATATTCAAACTTGGAGGAATCTATGCATGGTAGAAAAACTGGATGACTTGAGCCAGGTTTTTCTTTAAAGTAGTATTAGTCTGTTTCTGATGCTAATATCTTAATAAAGCAATATGTCAGGAAGTAATGGAAAACTAATTGGCTGTGTTTGATTGCTGTATCTTCCATCATTCATCCACCCGTCCATCTAGCCATCCATTTAATTAAAGCAACTAAGGTTTCCCTCAGAAGTAATAAACAAACTACATCCTTCAATTAGTTCAAGCTTTTCAAGCTGTCCATTTCATTTTGCTAAGGATGGTAAATCAAATCTGTGCTTCATTACGTTGCAGAGAGCTGGCTGGAGATCACCAAGGCTCTGTCTGTTAACTAATAACACATGGCATAAGTTAAGGAAATGCCTGTTTGAATGAAGGAATCGGGTTGTTCATACTCCTGAGCGGAGCTTCATAGTTCTTTTTTTGAACCTTGGGGCTCATCTATCTGTCAGTGTGGATGAGGAGCCTGAAAAGGTGTTCCAAATAGATTTTTTTAAAATTAGTTCATTGATCCAATTAATAAGCCTCATTTCAACTTTGTAGTTGCCTAGGAACAGTCCCCCCCCCCAAAAAAAAATAAGGTAGCAAGATCAATTAAACTATATCCACATAATTAAAGAAAAAATCTTTCATATTCATAATTCATATTAGGGCAGTAACTTTAGGACAATCTAAATATCACAAAATATCATGCATGTTTTTGAGTTCTA